CCCGCATCCTGTAGGTCAGCACCACTCACCAGGTTCGTAGAGAACGAGGGGAGGTAGAGACCAGACAGGGTGCCAGAGGGAGCCGCCGGACACGGGAGGACTGTGGAGAAGAGAGACAGGACAGGACCCCCAGAGGGATCAGCCAGGGACACCGCAACCGGCCGACTAAGCGGCGTGAGTGTGGTGTGGTCCCGAAAGAAGGAGCGAGACGCCCCAGAGTCAAGGGTGAAGGTGAGGGAGGCCGAAGCCGACGTAGTACCTGAGAGCGCAGACTCACTAGTACCTGAGAGCGCAGACTCACCAGTACCTGAGAGCACAGACGCACTGGCACCTAGAGCAGTAGCCTCACTAGCACCTAGAGCAGCAGTACCAATGCCCGGGTCGGGCGGGAAACACCGGTAACAGTCACCCTCATCACTAATAGTCACAGCATACATGGCAGCAAGGATAGCATCAAAGTCAAGATCAAAGATAGCTACACCAGCCCTAGACAGCTCTCCCCAGCGGGGGATCTCAGTGGCCTCTGGGAACTGCTGGCGCCAAGCGTCCGTCAGGCGGCCAAAGCAGCGCTGGGCGGGGTGGGCACCCCCACACTGCTCACCCGCGCGGTCGCCGGTGCGAAGGACGTAGGTGCAGGGACCAGAACCCCCACCACGCTGACGCTGCGTGTACCACTCACTGAGTTGCTGAGGGGTGGGGACGTCGCGAGAACGCTGCTGCTGCTGCTGCTGCTGGCGCTGACCACCCCCAGTGCTTCTCCGCTGCGAAGCGCCACTCCGACCACCTCCACCACCTCCACATCCGTCGCCTCCACCTCCGCCACCACCGCCGCCCCCGCCCGTAACGCCGCCGCCTCCGCCTCCACTGCAGCCACTAGCACCTCCACCCCCGCCACCACCTCCACCGCCACCCCCACTCCCTCCGCCGCCTCCACCTCCACCTCCACCGCCCCCGCTAGCTCCACCCGCGCCCTTGCTCCCCTTGCCCTTGCCAGGGCGGCGTCTCCCGCTAGGGGCAGACGCCGCACCGACCGACTCAAGACCAACGAGGTCGGCCGCAGCGGCAGAGGCGATAGAGGGCAAAAGGGGGGAAGGAGAACACCCCTCAAAGATGGGGGTGCGAGGGTCACCATGAGAGGCCCCTACAGCGACTATGCTCTTCTCGGCCGCTAGGAGGGACTTCTCGAGGAGGTCTACAGTGAGAGTGGTGGGACAAACTGAGAGGAAGTGGTCCCTGACTACACGAAGGGAGTCAGGGAGACGAGTGACTATGAAGTAGAGAGTGATGTACATGGGGGGGGGGTTCTTGGCGCAGAAGTCAGCAGGAAGCACAGCGCGGTAGCGAGTGTCATCAGTGCGGAGGTGCGTAATGAGGTCAGCGACTGTGGGAAAGGCAGCAAGGTCAGGGAAGAGGAAGGGTAGCATGAGGCGGCTCAGTGCAGCAGTGGGAGGGGAGGAGTAGCGCGCAACTACAGCGTCGTGCAAGGTCTGAGCACTCTTGTACTGACTAAAGTGCGCGCGCTCAGCGGTAGGCAGGTGACGACACACAGCAAGAGCGTCGCGTGTGGCCCACTGGGAGCGAACAGTGGGGTCACCATCAGCAGCAGGGGCAGGGACGGCGCCAGAGGTGAGGTCAAAGAGAGAAAGACCGTCTGCCCTATCGCACTGTAAGAACAGCTGCAGGTCGTCGACCCAGACCTCAAAGTCAATGGCGCGACCCTTGGCGTCAAAAGCTAGGACACTAGGGGTAGCCATGACAGCAGTCGACGGTCTCACCAGACAGGGCGGGTCGGGCAGCTCAGCAGCACAGCAACACGGCAACACTGCTGCTCGGCCGGCCCAGCAGCAACAGTAGCTCCGCGGGACCAGCGGCTCGGCTCCTCAGGTGACTCGGGCGGCTCGGGCGGCGCAGGCGGCTCGGGCGGCTCGGGCGGCTCGGGCGGCTCGGGCGGCTGGGGCGGCTCGGGCACTCAGCGGCACAGGCGGCTCGGGCGGCTTGGCTCCTCAGCGGCACAGGCGGCTCGGGCGGCTCGGGTGGCGCAGGTGGCTCGGGCGGCTCGGCCGGCTCAGGTGTCACAGCGGCGTACGGGCGGCGTGGGGCCGGGACGGTGGCGTGCGGCCGGGACGGGTGGCGCACGGGCGGCGTGGGGCCGGGACGGCGGCGCACGGGCGGCGTGGGGCCGGGACGGCGGTGCACGGCTGGGACGGGTGGCGCACGGGCGGCGTGGGGCCGGGACAGCGGCGCGCGGCCGGGACGGCTGGCGCACGGGCGGCTTGGGGGAGGGCCGGGACGGTGGCGCAGGGCCGGGACGGGCGGCGCACGGGCGGTGAGGGGCCGGGACGGCTGTGCGCGGCCGGGACGGGCGGCGCACGGGCGGCGTGGGGCCGGGACGGGCGGCGCACTGGCGTCGACGGGCCGTGGCAGCGGCGCGCGGCCGAGATGGGCGGCGCACAGGCGGCGTGGGGCCGGGACGGGCGGCGCACGGGCGTCTAAGGGCGGCGCGACGGCGGCGTGGGGCCGGGACGGGCGGTGCGCGGGTGTCTAGGGGCCGGGACGGGCGGCGCGCGGGCGACTAAGGGCGGCGTGCGGGCGTCTAGGGGCCGGGACGGGCGGCGCGCGAGCGTCTAGGGGCCGGGACGGGCGGCGCGCGGGCGTCTAGGGGCCGGGACGGGCGGCGCGCGAGCGTCTAGGGGCCGGGACGGGCGACGCGCGGGCGTCTAAGGGCGGCGCGCGGGCTGTCAGAACATATATGTAGCTTATGCTGTTGTGTAGGCTACAGTGGGGTATACCATAGGGGGTACAACCCAATTAGGGTTTTGCTATTTGTACTCACTTCTCTCATAGTTCATTCATTCTCGCTCTATTCTCCACATGGTATCGAGCAGGTTCCCCCGTGGGAACTGTGCTTAGGGCCCACCACTTTTAAACTTTTTTTTCTGCCCGGAGCGCGCTCCGGGCCCTCGCTCTCACTCTTTCGGCCTGCCCTGCAGGCCCCTAGCCGCCCGTGCGCCGCCTGTCCCGGCCCCTAGCCGCCCGCGCGCCGCCCGTTCAGGCCCCTAGCCGCCCGCGCGCCGCCCGTCACGGCCCTTAGCCGCCCGCGCGCCGCCCGTCCCGGCCCCTAGCCGCTCGCGCGCCGCCCGTTCCGGCCCCTAGCCGCTCGCGCGCCGCTCGTTCAGGCCCCTAGCCGCCCGCGCGCCGCCCGTCCCGGCCCCTAGCCGCTCGCGCGCCGCCCGTTCAGGCCCCTAGCCGCCCGCGCGCCGCCCGTCCCGGCCCCTAGCCGCTCGCGCGCCGCCCGTTCAGGCCCCTAGCCGCCCGCGCGCCGCCCGTCCCGGCCCTCAGCCGCCCGCGCGCCGCCCGTCCCGGCCCCTAGCCGCTCGCGCGTCGCCCGTTCAGGCCCCTAGCCGCCCGCGCGCCGCTTGGAGGGCGGAGTCCAGTGGTACTTACAGGTCACGCGGACGCTTCTTGGGCTGACGACCAGGCTACGCAGCGGTCGTCACAGGGTTACACCTTCAGCCTTGGCTCCGGCTCTGTCTCGTGGCGGGCTACTCGCTCGTCTTCGGTTCTCAGCTTGAGTTGTGAGGCTGAGATCTACGCAGGGGCCATGGCTGCACAGGAGCTTCGCTGGCTCACCTACCTGCTGACTGACCTTGGAGAGCCGCCTCGTTCTCCTCCAGTGCTGTACGTAGACAACAAGGCCATGCTGGCCTTGTGTCGAGAGCAGCGTCTGGAGCACAGAACGAAGCACATTGCTCTTCGCTACTTCCTTGCTCGTGAGCTACAGCAGCGTGGACAGTTGCGGCTTGCGTACGTGGCCTCTGAGGCCAACACTGCTGATGTGTTCACCAAGGCACTCGCGCCTTGTGACCATCAGCACTTCTGCACCCAGCTGGGTCTTGTGCGTGTCTTGCCTCACTTGCTCTCCTCTTGACTTTACTTGTACTGTCACATATATATACCTGCTCTTGCTTGTCTAGCTTTATATATATATATGTGTTTGTACTCCTGCATGTGAACTGGCCTTGTGGCCTTGCTCTTGTGCTCGGACTGTGTGGTGACTTTGTGATCCACCCTGAGCTTTGCTTTGCTTTGCTTGACTGGTCTTGTGACCCATTGTTCTCCCCCACTTTGCCTATGGGGGTGTGTCAGAACATATATGTAGCTTATGCTGTTGTGTAGGCTACAGTGGGGTATACCATAGGGGGTACAACCCAATTAGGGTTTTGCTATTTGTACTCACTTCTCTCATAGTTCATTCATTCTCGCTCTATTCTCCACATGGGCGTCTAGGGGCCGTGACGGGCGGCTAAAGGGGCCACTAGGGGCCGAGAGAGAGGGGAGCGCGACTCAGGCAGGTGCAGAGTGCGCTCCGGGCAGGAAAAAAAGACAGTGGGCCCTAGGAACAATTCCCACGATGGAACCTGCTCGATACCATGAGAAAAATGAAACGAGAATGAATGAACTATGAATGAAGTGAGTACATATAGGAAACCCTGATTGGGTTGTACCCCGTATGGGATACCCCACTATAGCCTACACAACAGCATAAGCTATAATGTTCTGACAATATATACCGGCATGCGTGCTCCTGGTAGGTAGAGATCACTGTGCTTTTGTTGTTGCATATATACCTCTGTATTTGAGCTGACCTTGTGGCCATTTGCTTGTGCTCAATGTGTGTGGTGACGTTGTGATCCACCCTGGACTTGTTTTGCTTCTCTTGACTAGTCTGGTGACCCCTTGCTCTCCCCCACTTTGCCTATAGGGGTGTGTCAAATTATATGCATGTCATATATGTGTAGGCGGTAGTGGGGTAGCCAATATGGGGTACAACTCCATGAGGGTTTCATATTTGTACCAAACCCTTATCTAGTCAATCCAATCTAATCTACTAGATTCTAACAAAGGCTTCACTCTTTGGCATTAATTGATTATTTATAGGTCATCTAGCCAAGCCGAAACCGCTTGGGCCAACTTTCGAATATCCACTAAAGCACTCGACTTCACTCCTTGGGCAATAGCATCAACCGGTGAGAAAGCATCTTGAACTGGCCACGACACATCCTGCATACACAGCAGCAACACATACGGTAAGAAAAAAAAGGGAGGAACAAGCGATACCCTCTACCATCAGAGCACCATTGCAGAAAAAAAAAAAAGGAAGCAGGATGAATAATAAAGAATCGTACTGGAGCCAGGGGAGTGGCGTGAGTCCCCTCAAGCAGCAGAGTGGAAACAGAGCCGCCGATCTCCTCCATGCGCCCCGTGAGAATGGGCTCCAGCTGGTCCGTCTCGTCTAACGTGTCCACTGAGAACTTGATCTGTGGGGAGGGAGACACGAGAAAGAGGAGATGCGGGAGGACAGGTTGTGTTGTGGGCGGACGGAGTAAATTTACAAGCGAGAATGGGATCCAGCTTAACTGTCTCGTCTAAAGTCTCCACCGAGAACTTTTGAGTCGACTCAAAAGTCAACACGGACGGAGTAAATACACAACTGAGAATGGGATCCAGCTGGTCCGTCTCGTCTAAGTGTCCAACGAGAACTTGATTTGCGGGAGGGAGAAGATGTGCGAGGGCAGCTGTTTGCCGGCTAGGCTCTTTGTCCACATACAAAGGAGATAGGGGACGAACGAGATAATGATGTAAAATATCACAGAGAACTTTTTTTCAATCGACTAGAGCATGGACAACCCAGAGGGCTCATATGCGAGGGAGGAAGAGGCTCGCACCAGGAGGAAGAGGCACGCACCAGGAGGTTCCGAGGGACAGCATAGGAGGAGGCGATAAGCTTCCTGGTCTCTGCCGGTGGTGGTGTGAACTCCGACACTCCATCCCGCACCTGGTGGCGTGTGGACGCGTGGACAGATGGACAAGTGGACAGATGGACACGTGGACAGATGGACACGTGGACACATGGACAGGTGGACAAGTGGACAGAAGGATACGTGGGCAGATGGACAAGTGGACATATGAACAAGAGGACAGATGAACAGGTGGACAGGCAGACAGGCAACACCGTATTGTAACATTGCCACCTCCTTAGTGCCATCTGCCTGGCTGGTAATCACATCAGCACCTTTTGAATGCGGACCTTTCACAAGTGGTAACCTCACATCTGCCCATACAGCCGTATGGAAAACCCTAGATATTCTACGGTAACCACACATGTCTTGTGTGGGCAGAGTGGTAACCGCATCTGTCCCACCTAAGCACCTGTCTCGCCTGGCCATGTGGTAACCATGTGGGTGAGTTAATTTGTGGTGCATGTGAGTGGAGGTGGTAATGATACCTGCCCCACGTGTGTGAGGCATTGGTGATGCATGCGAGTGGAGGTGGTAACCGCACCTGTCCGAGAACGGGTGGGATCTGTTCAAGGAAGCGGCCGAGAGGGTCAAGGTCGTTCCTCACCACACCGGGTGGCAGCGGTATGCTGCTGCGCTGCAGTGCCTCCAGTGCCTGCTCTGTGCATGGGCTCCAGGGAAGGGTGGGGTGGGATGGGATGGTTGAAGAGGGGTGGGATGGGATGGGGTGAAGAGGGGTGGGATGGGATGAGGTGAAGAGGGATGGGATGGGGAGTCGAAGAAGCAACCTGCGGGCCTCAAACGCCTGCTCTCCAAACAGGCTCCAGAGAAGTACACGGTGGGATGGGAACAGTGAGGTGGGGTGTGGTGGGGTGCGGTGCAGTGGAGGGCCGCGCGGTGGGGGTGGACAATTAAAAAGCTCCTGCTCTGCCCAGGGGCTCCAACGGAGGCAGGGTGGTATGGGGTGCACTGATTGATCGCTTACCTGCCACACTGATCGCTTACCTGCCACACTGATCGCTTACCTGCCACACTGATCGCTTACCTGCCACACTGATCGCTTACCTGCCACACTGATCGCTTACCTGCCACACTGATCGCTTACCTTCCACACTGATCGCTTACCTGCCACACTCAGCGCAATGCCAGTGAGCGGAAATGCCTCAATAGCTGGAGCTAGCTGCTGCACTGCTGGCCCCATCTGAAGGGGGGTGAGGAAAGAGATTGATATGAGGAGGGGGGTGAGAAGAGAAGGACCTGATAGTGTGCAGACAGGAGGGGGGCAAACTGAGGGAAATGCTTGCGAGATGAACAGCCTTTAATGTTGGAGCCTGGCGGTTGTTGAATGTTGGGAAAATTTGCTTTCATGTAGTTGGACTTTTGGCAGGAAACTCGCAGGCATGTGCTTGGCGGCTTGGCCAATGACCACCTCACCTCACCTCACCTCACCTGGTCAAAGTACGGCACTGCGAAGGACGCTGGGCGGTTGTTGAATGCTATGACCACATTCGCCTGGATGGGAGGACGGTAGGCAGGGGAGGGAGACACGGAGGGAAAGAGAAAGAAGGATGGAGGGAGAGACAGGAGGGGGAGAGAGACAGGAGGGGGAGAGAGACAGGAGGGAGGGAGAGAGACAGGAGGGAGGGAGAGAGACATGAGGGGGAGAGAGACATGCAGGAGCGCATAGGTTGGTCACTTTTCACTACCACCGACTGTCATGCACAGGAAGAGCAAGGCGTGGTACTAGGAGCATCTGAGAGGATGGTGGAGGTGGTACTTGGTCCACTTCACTCGATGCCCGTTCCCCTCCTCCCCGTCCCATGCACATGACACGAGACTTCACATCCAACCACCTCAGGCAGCCACACTTTGGTTGGCCTGACCATTCTTACCACTGGCATGGGGAAGCTAGCGGTGGTGGCAGTCACTCCCCTTTGGAACCTGATGGGAGTAACTTACATCCCAACTGCGCGGCCCTTTCTCCCTTCCCGGACCCCATGCACATGACACGAAACAGCACCTGCTTGCACAAACCTCAGGCATCCGGTCTTTGTTTGCCTGAACACGCTTACCATTGCAATGGGGTAGCGGGACCTGATGAGAGTAACTTACATCCCAACTGCGTGCGACCACGTTTCTCCCTCCCTCCCCCTCCAACCCCCCGTGCACATGACACGGACCTTCACCTCCCTTCACCTCCCTTCACCTCCCTTCACCTGCTTTCGCCTGCCTTCTCGTGCCTGAACCTGCTTTCACTTCACCTCCCTGCACCTGCCTTCACCTCCCTGCACCTGCCTTCACCTGCCTTCGCCTGCCTGCACCTGCCTGCACTCACCTCAGGCAGGCGGTCTCTCTTGGTGGTGGAGAGGCTGCCCATCAGCAGCTGCATGAGAGCGCCGTTGCTGAACAGGGTGGAGGGGGGTTGGATGACGGAGCAGGAAGAGATAAAGGCGTCATTGGGAGAAGAAACGGAGGAGGGTGATGAGTACTGTACTGTTACTATGAGTGGGGGGAGCTTGAGGAGAGAAGTGTTTTCACACGGGGACAAGAATGAGTGGGGGATGCTTCAGGAGAAGAAGACCCTTTCTTGTCCAAAGAGAAGCGAGAGTGATGAGAAACCTCGAAAGGAGAGTGATGAGTACTGTTGCTATGAGCGACACAGGGTCAGGGGATAGTGAGGGGGCGATGGCCAGAATGGATAGAGTGGGATGACAAGGACAAGGACAAGGACAAGGAAGGTATGACCCCGGCAAACTGGCTCCTACTATGTGCAGCGGCAAGACTCTTGGAGAGTGGGAGGTAGAGCGGCCATGGGGCAGACGGGCGGAGGGGCAGAGGAACAATGAGGATTTACAGCATGCTGTGGGATCATACCTCTGTATTCAATCCACGTTGAATATGAGGATTTACAGCATCGACCATACCTGTGTCCTACGCTGTAGACTGGCAGACCGTCCACGTCAGCAGAAGAGATCCCTGCAGAAGGCAGCCCGTGCAGCTGGAGCAGGTCGAGTGCTGACGTGGCACGGGCGTGCAGGCCGGAAGCTGCTGCCAGGTGGTCGAAGGTGATTGGATTAGGCACAGCCACCACCAGATAGCCGCCCTTGGCAAGAAGGTCTAGAAAGTAACTGCAATGGAAGGCGGGGAAAGGAAAATGGAAGGGGAAGGACGATAAAAACGAGGGATGACCACGAGAGATACTGAGAAGGAACGGGCATGGGATGAGTAAGAGGTAGACAATTGGAGTGCTGCGGAACAAGGGAGAGGGAGCGACTGCATGGAAAGGGAACTAAGGGAAAGAAGGCTGGAGGCAGAGAGCGGAAGAGGAGCGGCAAGCAAGGGGCCAGAAAGGCCTGGGGGCAATAATGCGCTGCATTAAAGGGGGGGGAGAGGAGATGAGTGGGAGAACAGGGAAAATTCATAGGACGGTGTGCATCGGGCTTTGAAGGACGTGGAGGAAGCGAGTGGCGTAGAGTGGAGGGAGGGCAGGAGGCCGAACAGACCAGAGCAAAGCAGACCAGACCAGACTGGCCCGGACCAGACCAAACTAGACATAACCAGACGCGACCAGACGAGACCATACTGCACCGGACCGGACCAGACCCGACCCGACCCGACCCGACCCGACCCGACCCGACCCGACCCAACCGAACCGACCACACCACACCACACCACACCAGACCAAACCACACCTGTAGAAAACGTCTGGCGAAGCTCCCAGGAAGGCGCCTCCAAAGAATGTGATGATGCCTTTGAGCGGCTGGCGACGCGCGCTGGTGGGCGGGGCGCACGCGAAGCACTCGCCCAGCTGGTGCAATTCTGGCCGTGCGATGGGAAGCAGGCTGAACTCAGGATCGTCGATTCTCTGGGTAAAGAGCGCCGCTGAGAATGGAGAGAAGAACCGGGGGAGAGAAGGGGGTGATGTGGGAATCGAGACTGGAATGTGTGAGATAAAAAGCAGTAGACGAGGGTGTGACGCGAAGTGAGCCGCGAGACACGGGACATGGGTTGGGGCATCAGAGCGGGAGCTAGAGCCTAAATCAACTGCTCGAGATGATGGCATGGCACGATGGCATGAGACGAACCAGTAGGACGGGACGAGGAAGCTTTCCGCGAGGTTTCGGAGCTAGGATGGGCCGGAGTTCTCCGCCGCCTGATGGAAATTCTCCCTGCTGACAGCTGATGATGGATCGTTTTATTAGACGTGAGCTTCGGTGATAATAGCGGATGTTGACTGAGAGCTTGTATCGGGGACGGGGAGCTAACTTGCGCTGCTGCCGACGAATGCAATATTGGGAATTGCGATAACGAAAACGGGTTTGATGAGGACGCGCGAATCGCGCAGCGCGCGATGACAGCCATGGCGGCAATCGAAAGACGCACGTAATCCGCTTCGTACGCGGGAGAGAATCGGCGGCTTGCGAGCGCTGGCGAAAAATCGTATTTACTCCTCAAGGTGTCCCTCCTAATGCGTCCTAAAGAATGTATGCGCGTCCGCTTTTACGAAAAGGGACGGACGAGCGCACGCAGAGTCGTCAGAAAGCCCATCCACAATTCAAGTCCCTGCGATGGAAACGGAGCGTTCTGCCACGCCACGAGCTATTGAACGACGGTCTAAAGACTACTCGCGAGACCGTCAGAAACTTGTACTCAAGCAGCAAGCAGTAGCTATCTGGATGAATGAATTGGCCGCAAATTGGTGGTGCTGGTTCTGTGTGTTAGAAGCTGCTGGTGGTAGTCTGCACCTCTCACGAAGAACTGCGAATGCACAAGTGAAAACGAGAGGTGAGAAGCAAGTCATTTCAGGAAAGAGTGGTCGGCGAATTCGGCAACCTTTCGCGAATTGACGTGGTCAAACGGATGACGAGGTATCGCCACGGTGATGTGGCAAAACACCCCGAGCCAAATTGCACTTAGCTGCGGCGCGGTGCGATAACCTCGATTGCCGCGCTTCGTTACAAGCACAATATGCCGAAATATATCTTAAATTTACATGTCCGTATTTCAACTTCGACAATTCTCACCCCTTGATTTTTTTAACAGCAACACTATTGCAAGTGAGACCTGTTGTATCTCCCGAAACGTGCTGACGACAGGGGCAGACGCACAATAATTACCTCGTTCCTTCGGCTACCTTCGAGAAATCCCCGTAACTGCCTTTTGGTTTCCTCCGACTGTGTGGGAATGAGAGAGGTGATGCGATCGACGGACGGCATGCGCATTTTACTAACCCGCACAACCTTGGTTCACGCACAGAAAAGCCAGTGTCATCGATTGGTGCATGCCATAGGAAACTGTTACTCGAAGAAAGCTAGTACCTGCAATCGCTGCGTGCCTTGTAACAAGCCGCCATTCCTATGTCCCTCACTAGGCGCGTCTTGTGTTTGACATCAGCCGCTGAACGGTCGTTCCTGGCTTCCGCCGTGATTCCACGCGTCGGCGCACCGAGGATTACCGCTCTTGTGACTACCAGGCCAGACAGGAGCGCAACTTATGCCGCTCCGATAAGAACGCCGGCTTTTCTGGCTGCTCCTTACTCACCGTCTTCTCCGGTCCACGCCGAAGAGAAGTCGGTATACAATCGCTCGGAGCGCGGCTTGAAGGGCTGGTCATTCAACCGCGTCATTAACTTTGCGCTGCTCAAGAAAGTGGCCAATTCTTGCACAGGAAGCAACGCCAAAGTGACACGTGGCATTGTAACAATGGCCACGGTGGGAGGTGATGCCAGCGGGAGCAGCAGCGCTGCTGCGAGTGCGGTCGGGGCGGACGAGGGGGTGGGGGAGATTCTCGCGTTCTGGTTTGGAGACTTCATGCGGCCGGGATATGATGTAAGCGGCGGTTTGGAGGGATTTTAGAAAAAGTGGATGTGAGTGGTTTTTGAGAATGTTACATATATGATGCAAGTAGAGCAAGCGAGCGCACGCGCAGCTGCGCTGCTCGCTCCTACCGCCGGCATTTTGGTGTGCGAGGGTAGGTGTTAAGGGGGGAGGGTGTGGGGAAGATTCTTCCATACTGGAATGGAGAGTCCATGCTCCATTCATCCTGTTGTGCTTCATTCACCATGCAATGCTCCACTCATTGTGCAAATCTCCATCTATCATGCTCATTACCTCTCCAAACTGTTGGAACTTGTACATGCGCCCCTTGTTCCATCCCTCGAACCTTGCAACCTTGCAGGGCCCAGCCCCTGCACCGTCAGACGAACTCGCTAAGGCGCGTGTGTGGTTCAGCAAGAATGACGACGTGGACGCTTTCATTCGCACGCGATTCACTCCGCTTATCCCGCTCGCCGCATCAGGCCAGCTGGCGGGCTGGGAGGACACGCCACATAGCGCCCTCGCATTGCTGGTGCTGCTTGATCAGTTCACGAGGAACAGTTTCAGGGGCTCGCCAGAGGCTTTTGCACAGGTAAGCACCTGCTGCACCTGGTGAAAGAGCATATGGTTTTGCTGAGTACAATGCTTAGTTGCTGTTCATGTCTCTTTGTGTGTTGTGTTCTCCCTACTCTGTCATTTCACTGTTTTATGCTCTTTGGTCTCCAGCACTAAAGTGCTGTGAAGGTGGCAAAGCGAAAACACGATTTATTTTCTTCAACGCTCCAGTATGCCTGCCGTTGTTCCTTTTTGTTTCGCTCGTTCATGTTCTTTTCTCTCCAGGACCACCTTGCTTTGGAGGTTGCTAAGCGGTGAGTGTCTCTATCACCATTCTGGTGTCAACTCCTTTTTGCTATCTCATGTTTACGCTCCTCTTCTGGACCCGTCAACTAAACAAGCATAGGAAAGAAATCCGTTCTCATTCTCAGCATGCTGTGCTTCTTATACTCGCAGAAGAATGCGTTTCTGAACAATGTAATCACAACATGCCATTTCATCTCATCCGGACCTCCAGCACATTCCTCCTTTGTGTTGACGTGAAACAAAACAGGCACATTTTCCTCCCTCTCATGAGTAAGTTGGGTAATGTTGTGCTGGTGCCATGCAGGGCCATTGACAAGGGTTTTGACCGGCAGGTGCCCAGGGTTGGTCGGCCTTTCTTCTACCTGCCGTTTGAGCACGCGGAAGGTACGGCTTTTCTCTGTTCATGTGTCAGCTCATTCCTCTTTGAATGTTAGCATTCGGAAGCTTACCCTCCTCTCTGTGGTTGTTGTGTGGCTGGCCTCTCTGGTTCATGTGTCTGGTTTTACAGATTTGGCAGCACAGGATAAATGTATTGAGCTGATGACTCAAATGGTTGAAGATGCCCCTGAAGGTCCCGTGAAGGGATTTTTTAAAGGTGGTTTGGATTTTGCGCACAAGCACCGGGATATTATTGTCAAATTCGGTCGGTATCCGCACCGAAATGATGTATTGGGAAGGGGGAGCACACCTACGGAATTGGAGTTCATGAAGACGCATGCTGGCTTCTAGGTACATCACGGTAGTGGAGATTTAGCCATGGGTTCAGCATTTTGCCTCATTTATTCCTGTAAATTTGAAGGGTAGTATTAACAGCTTTAATATACTTGAGAGCGTTATGACGTATCTACTTCTAGGTATATCTTATAGCATATGCTTTCGATCATCTTATTGAGTGCCGAGGGATTCTAGGGATCGTTCTGTTGCCGCATTCGAGGTTCTTGGGCCCCCTGAGGAATATTCTAGGAAAGCGCACGATAGAGCTTAAAACCCTTGTCGAGCCTCCCATGCCGAATCTGGTAGCATTTCTTGTGCGCCCAAGGATTCAAGAACGCATCACGACTAGTACGTTCGGACCTTACTGGGAAACTTCCGTTACGGGCAAACTGGAGGCACCGCTCGTGCGAACCCTATCCGCCCATCCGAGGTAGAATAAGGGGGCGCACAAGCAAAACGGGCAGATCTGAACGCCCGATTTTGGGAAACTTTGTTGTTGAAATAACTCACCACAAAAACATACCAAACGAGAGGCAAGGGTGAACCCAAATGTTGAAGATTCATGAGTGGTTGGGATGAAACATTTTGAGCATCCTGGGCAGAATGGGCACGGTGAACGGAAAAAACATGGGCTGTTGGCAAAACCGTTTTGTCATTAGCAGCAAACTTCGTCGAGGCCGTGGGAGGGTTGACCCCTTCGAGGAAAACCCATCCCGTAGTGCTTGTGCAGAAGGCTCGACTTGGATGGTCAAGTTACCAATCTGACAATTCAAACCTCGTTCGAATTGGCACTCGTACGAACAATAGAACGCGGTCACTTTCGGCCAAGCTCGGCAGCTCGACGAAATCAGCGGTCCATCGACAACTACACTAAATTCTTCGGGAATGATGCCAGAGCCAAGTTAGCTGCGCAAAGTAACCCATTTGGTCGAGTTGCGGATCGGCGAAGGTCGAATTATTTCTCAGCCATCGATGTAACGTTTTGACTGATTAAAACCTCCAATAATCTTCGGACTACGGAATCGAACTTCATACAACTTAGAAAGCAAACTTTGGGATTTGCGCTCCACGAACCGCGCCCTCGATCGTTGACTGCTGAGTCCACCAAGCTTCAGGACGTGTCTCATGTGAAGGGTCCGCTGGATCTGGTCCGCGACCAGAATCTAAACGCCTGGTCCGGGGTTCTGGTCCGACGGACCCACTTGGCGGACCAGAGTTGGACCAGACACGGACTGGTCTGCCAGATGCGTCGCGCTTCGGGATTCACAGTATTTGCGAGATGCAGCAGTAGCGACGAATTTGAAATTGAGTTACCCATTTTTTTCGTCTGCACAAAAATCTCACGCGAAACTTACAAAACAAGAAATTACACCAAAAAAAATGTTTCATCACCCACTGTTTACGGACCAGGCGCGGGCTGGTCTGGAGGGCCAAATAAATGGCACCGTTTTAGTGCCATTCGAACGGTATAGCGGGGTTACAAGCCCCGCAACCTGGTCCCGGTCCGCCCTGGTTCACGCGCTGGTTCTTGAGCTGGTCCGTCAGGTCCGAGCCGGACCCACGTGGACTCAGACATCTGAGACACCCTCTCAGAAGCAGCAGGTCGTGGGTTTCACAATCCATTTCAGAGCGGCAGGAGAGCCGATTTTCCTAGTGTGGCACGCCCAAGCTCGTTCAGCCTTCTGTCAGAGGCAGGAACAGAGTCTAGATTAGTGCACGAAAACGCAGTTATTGCTCCTCCATTCTTCACGATACCATACAGATGGCCGGAATGCGACCAGACGAGGAGCTGGGTTCGCTGTCCTGGCAAGTCCATTTGAGTAAGTTCGTTGCAACGCAGACGGCTTTCCTGCAGGCAGCCGTCCGGAAGTTTTCTGGCCTGAAAGGCAGACCAACTCGAGGACACTGGTTAAAGAGCAGAGACCTTGTTACGGTCACGCTCATCAAACGTGCTGATCCCAAGCTCTCCACGATTTCCTTGATCTGTGGAGTCACTTACGTGAGAAAACTTTCCACGATTCGCCGTGCGTCGGTGTTGAAATTGTTTGAGGCAAAAAATCTGACGTTGTGACCATCTTTCAGGAGCAACATTACGTGTTACGAGTTCACTTTTTCCAACCGATTTGTCGGCCACAAGCTTCTGCCGAGGCTATACCCTCTAGAGTTGTCGTAGCGTGCTATACCACAGCAGATTCTCCATCACAGGTAAGAAACGTGTACTCTCATGTGACAAGCCTATCTCAGAAAACGCTCAACTTACCTCAGACGCAGAAGTTTATGATGAGATTCGAGACCGCTGCTGCTGCTCAGTCCTTCTCAGCCGCTATTCAGGTACGTGATTTATATAGAAAGCATGACGTACTCGATATTTTTATTGAAACATGTCACTTTCCTTTCGGTCCTTACAGGGATTGATGAACGACGAGAAAGAAGCGAAGCTACATAGCTGCGTGACTCAGCCGAGCCAACCTCAGAGTGCAGGTTTGAGTTTTAGCATTAAAGGTCTTTCTGAATGTAGCTGTGCATAAGTTTTCTTTGCTAATCTCACCTTTGTCTTGCATGCAGTTGAAGAGGCGCCTCCACTTTCCATTCAACTTCAGGTAGGCTGGAAATCCAGGCTCTGCTGTTCAACTTGCTAACACCTCCCAATATAATATGAGTTCGCTGCAGGCGTGTATTTTGGACCCAACATTTCAAGGCAAGTCCTCCCTCACCGATAGAAATCCAACTAATGCATCTCTGTGCTTGCTTGTTATTTTTTTGGAACATAATCATCATCTTGTTTTCTCAACTGTGCTGTGTTGTTGGCATTTCCGTCTTCTCAGAGTTCGTCCACCAAGTGGAGTCTGTTTGGAACCAACTGCAAGAAATCTTGGCGCCTGAGCTGGCAAATCAAGCTTTGCTTGAGCAAGCACCTCAGCAGCCATAATATTGGGCAGTGGATTAGTTATTAGCAGCAATTGCCAGTTTTGCAAGGGGTTGCAGTTGTTGGGGTGCTGTGCTGATGCCCTAGGCAAGCTGCCTTTCTGAAGCAGTCAACGCTGAGCGCGAATTTGGACAAATAGACCTCCTAGGTATATCGAATGCTTGAAAACTGTCTGGTGCCTTGTGTGCGGAGCCTGTGTCAATACTGACATTGACTTAGCCATCCTAGATTGTGATGTAGTGTAGTTGCAATAGTGCAATCTACTACGACGCAGTGAAAGCATGGAAATGCCGTAGTAGACTCTTACCATAAAGCGAACTGTCGCACAGCGGCATGAATTTGAATGACTGATGAGGGACTAAGCGACCCACTTTGGACTGTCCTTAAAGTTCCGAGGTAGCTTGAGAGAGAATGGCGACTCTCCACATATGTAGCCCGAGCGTGGATCTCGTGTTGTGTCCGTCAAGAAGCCGCTGCATTGCCACGATTCCTTTCCCGGCTTCAGAGCCACGGCTATCGACAACCGTGGGGGCGCAACGCCAGACGCCTCAGATTTCGCGGTTACGATGGCCGGCGAAGTCGCTTACGGCGACATTACCAAGTGTGCGAGGCTCGCAAGCGTACTACCATTCTGTAACTGCCACCTCCTTTACAAAACTTTCAGGCAATGGCAAGAGAAGGCGAGGTGTCAAGAGTAGGGCCCAGGAAGACGGAGCAGGAGAGACCGCTACAGTCGCTACAGCCGCAGCTGTGCAGGCAGCGGTGGAGGCGATGCGAGCGCGGGAGATCAAGAAGGAGCTCGAGAGCCTGGGTATGACCGTCTAGGTACGCCGAACAAGGTATATTATGTGGTAACCCTGGTAAGGCCTGTACCTCTGTGCGGATATGGAAAAGGCTTTGACGGGTATAAACAGGCTTCTGGAGTGTTGAGTATGGAAGTGATTTAGGTCAGGGAACATACAGTATCCACGCATGCAGGCAACAGGCACAGAGCACAACACGCAGCAGCACAGATCAGCACACATCACACGGAACAGCAGCACAGCACAGCACAGCACTCGATTCCCAACATCCTATATCGAATTCGGACAAAATTGACCTTGTAACAGCCGCGCTGTTCTCCATCATCGCTTGTTGCCATGACACTCTAGGCATCAGCACGCAGGGAGTGTTTGACAATGACAGCTGCTCTCCTTGCTTTCTGCTGGCATCAATTAGTGTACACAATTCCGTTTTGCGTGTCGTTTCTTGCACCCACATCCACCAGGCATCAGCACGCGGGGAGTGTTTGACAAGGACCAGCTGGTCTCCTTGCTCGTTGCCCATCGCCTCTCAGCTCCACCCTCTGCTCCTTCTCCACAATCCAGCAGCAGCAGCAGCAGCAGCAGCAGCAGCAGCAGCAGCAGCAGCAGCAGCAGCAGTAGCTGTAGCAACAGCAGAAACGCAGAGGCCTCTCCACCTCCCTCCTCCTCGTCGTCCCCCTCCCCATCCTCCCCTTCTTCCTCCCAAGGCGTCATCCTGCGCATGCCCATGCGTCGCCTCGCCACTACCGCCAGAGAGCCACGGGAATACGTTATCCTGCCTTTAGAAGTTGCCGGGAAGGGCCCCTTTGATTTCCTCCTGGACACCGGCAGCAGCACCACCCTCGTCTCCCCGGATTTTGCTTATGGCACTATCGGGTTGTCTACTAACGAGGGCAGGATGACCCAGGGGCTCGGAGGCATGGGGCCGGAGGGGAAGCAGGGGCGGGAGCTGCTGCTGCCGGACGTGAGGCTCGGGAAGTTTAGGTTCGGGCCGATGCAAGCGGTGGTGCTGGACCTGCAGTACACGGGCCTGCCTGGATCGGTGGCGGGGATCGTGGGGCTGTCGTTCCTGTCTGCCTTTGACATGGACTTTGACTTCCCCAGCAGCACTCTCACCATCATGCACTCAGGTGAGAGCAGCACTCTCACCATCATGCACTCATATGTCTTTTGCGTATAACGCCTCCCCACCCCCTCCCCACCCCCTCCCCCCCTCCATCAACGATGCTCCGTTCCTGCTTCATATTCCCTCATCGTCCCTCGCAATTGCCATCATCCCTCACCATTCCCCCTCTATCCCTCACTCGCTATCCCTCACTCGCTCTATCCCTCACTCCCTCCATCCATCCCTCACGTCCGTTCTCTCACTTGCTCCAATCCTCCCAGGAGCTGCACTGGCAGCAGCAGGCAAGTGGACAGCGGGAGGCACCATCCCCCCTCCGCGCTCTGCTGCTGCCACCTCTCAGGGGTTGGATTTCGAGGGGCTGGCCATGCTCGCCCCAGCCACTGTTCCCTTCAACCTACCCGCTGTCCAGGTGAGATGCTTTGGAAGTGAGAATGTGTTTGAGTGAGCCGTGGTATCTCATGCACAAGATTCGTCTGCCTCTGAGTGACATTCAGCCAAGTTTGATCGAGCCCGCTGCAGCAGGAGGCACGGCCCCCTGTCTCCCCTCTGCTGCTGCTGCCGTTGCTACCATGACTGGCAATGCTTGCACCAGCCACTGTCCCTTTCAACCTACCCAGCTATATAGGTTGAACTGTCATCTACCTTAGAATGCTCTGCTTTTGATTGAGCTGGATCCGTCTATGTTTGAGACCCTCCAAACAGGTGTGCTGCTGTGGGAGGGCTGGCTGTATCTCCACTACCATCCTCATATCTCCCCTCCTATATCTCCCCTCCTATATCGCCCCTCCTATATCGCCCCTCCTATATCTCCGCTACTTTATCTCCCCTCCTATATCTCCCCTCCTATATCGCCCCTCCAATATCTCCCCTCCTATATCTCCCCTCCTATATCGCCCCTCCTATATCTCCCCTCCTATATCTCCCCTCCTTTATCTCCCCTCCTATATCTCCCCTCCTATCTCTCCCCTCCTATCTCTCCCCTCCTATCTCTCCCCTCCTATCTCTCCCCTCCTATATTTGCGCTCCTATCTCTCCCCTCACATCTCTCACCCCCCATCTCTTCACCCCCCATCTCTTCACCCTCCATCTCTTCACCCCCCAACTCTCCCCTCCCATCTCTCACCCCCCATCTCTGATCTCCCACCTCCTACCTCTCATCTCCCAACCAGAACCGGAATCATGGGGATCATCAGTTGTCATCCCTTGTCACTCTCATCTCTCTCATCCGTCTCCTCTCTCACACAGGTCTCCGTGAACAGCTGACACCTGCAGACAGCGATTCTTGACATGGGGTCTCTGGCCTCAGCCTCGTCCTTAACCTTTCTCTTCCTCGTCTCCTCTTCCCATTCCTCCTCACTTCTCTTGCATAACCCTCGTCACTTTCGTCTTACTCGTCCCCAACCCTCACCATTCTCATACAAATCTCGGTGATTGGCAAACACCTGGAAACAACGATTCTTGACATGGGGTCTGGACTCGGCCTCGTGGTTTTCCTTTCTCTCCCTCATCTCTTCCTCCTATTCCTCCCTGCTTCCCTAACATAACTCTCGTCTCTTCCATCACCCCCATCCCCACCCCTTGCCTCTCGCACCTAGATCTCGGTGAATGGCAAACCTTTAGAGACAGCGATTCTGGACATGGGGTCTGGGCTCAGCCTCATCACCACTGCAGTGGCTTCCCGTGCCGGTGTCACCCCTTCCAGCATTGTAAGATGGCTGTTACCGATAACAACCAGCCTGGTACAAACCTTGCAAAAAACTTATAAAAATAGTAACAACCACTGTAAGAACCTTTTCAGAAACCTTACAAAAAACCGTACGTATAACTAACGAGCATTGTGCAACCCATACAACCAACATAACTGAAATAACCATAATACTAGCATAGGCCACCAATGTCACCATGAGAGATTGCCCATCATTGAAAATTGACAGGAAATTCCACATCCCAACGTCACTTTTTAATTTCTTCCATGTTCCCCCCCACTCCCTTCCTCTCCCTTTGTTCCTCTTTCCCAGGGTGTGGCATCGATGGTGGACGTGGGAGGTGGAACAACACAAATGGGAGGAGCAGTCGCCGATCTGTTCCTTATAACAAAGCAAGGAGGACCCACAGGGACGTCAGGCGGCCATATCCCCTTTACAAGCCACCCCATGATAGTGGGGGACCTGCCAGCCCTGGCAGTGATGGGAGCGGGGGCAGTGGTGGGCATGGATGTGCTCAAGAGGACCCGCTGTGTGGTGTGCTTCAAGGATAACAGGGTACTGTTGCAGAAGAAGTTTTAATGGTAGAGAGTTGTTTTTTTTATGCTGTGGTTCTTACTCGTAAACAGTAACATACCTAGCGGTCACTCCATCATTCAGTCAGGAGCTTGTGATACCGGTACTGCATGGAATTTCCTTATGTTTCTCGCCGTACCATGGGCGGCTTCGGATCAGAGATTGGAGATTGGGTCCATGAGCACATTGGGTTGCCGTGCTGACTGGTCCGCTAGCTAAGACAGGATCACCATGATGCAATGTGTCTGTTGTGCTCACTTCATTCCGTTCCAAGCAACTCATCAGGTAGTTTTGATTTAGAAGCAAGGGCACAGTTTAAGTTCATTAGTGGTAAAGTTTCCCACGGTAGGTACGGTACCGTAGGTTAAGCATCAACAGACTCGAAACAATCAACAAAACTGAAAAATGTCATAAACACCAATTGGATGGATCAACATTGACTGTGATGCAATCCCAACAGCCTGCCATCACAAGCACGGATCCCATACTCAAGCCACGCTGCTCGCTCTACCCCACACTGTTGAGATAAGAACGTAGTTAGATACTAGGTTTAGCTAGGGCCTAGGCTTAGGAGCCAAGGCCCAAGGAGGATCGAGGAAGTTTGTGCCAAGGAGGGAGAGGAGAATGAGAGGAGAATGAATGTTCATTATAGCACTAGGGTACATATAGCAATCAAAGAGGTGCACCACCTATAAAGTTAATATCTACACCACAGCTAGAACTACATGCAGGTATAAGAATATATTTTTGACACACACATGTTCTCTTCTCTTCTCCTGTCACGCAGCAACAAATGTACATCAGCAGCACAAAACCATTCTAGGCATCATCACCAGCACACCTCCTCCCCACCTGCTCATCTGCTCCACACAAGCTCGCCATTCCCTGCCTCAGTTCTCAGGCTTGACACCATATATCTCAACTTGAGCTTCAGAATGACCAGCCAGTGGAAGGACAGCAGTAATCCGCCATCCCAGGAACAACCAGCTTCCCTGGCTCCCTACGCCTCCTGGCCCTGCTCAGTTGCTCTCGATGCTGCGCGCATCTTCTCCCTCTGCTCCCGCGTCAGCCTCACAGGCCGCCTGCGCCTGCCGCCCAGCATTCCGCCCCTTTGCCCCTCCAGATCCTTCCCCAGAGCCCCCCCCTCGGGCATTTCCGCGGGCAGGGCGACGGACGCGTTGGTGAACGCGCTAAGCACCACGAAGGCCAGAATCGGCGATAGATCGAGGGTTCTGCTACAGAAGAAGTTTTAACGGTAAGAGTTGTTTTACCGAACATGGAATAATGTGTACCAGAGCTGGTTCTGTCTGCTTGCCATACCGATTCTTAGTTATTTACGGTACTAAAAATCAGTTCATATTGTTACGAATAGTGGTTATCGAAACACTACTGTACACTCCTCTCCGCAGCAACCAAAGCACGCACTACCGGGAATGAGGATGAAAGGGCGCAAGTGACGCGAACAGTCACACGGTTACGAAAAGCATCTGGACCGTCGGGCAGACAGCATCAGGCAGCAGCAGTGGCGAGGATTCTGCCCGAATAGTTATGTAACCACCCGGAGTGGCACGGTTGGATTTCGCTGTAATAAGGGAATGTACCCCTTAGAGTACATGGCTAGCTAGGTCGTTTCGAATTCCCCTGTACTCATATTTATATTCCTTGTACTGCATGTTGTTAATCATCACAAGCATTTACATTCACTCTGCTATCGAGGTCAAGGGCCCACCACCACTAGACTAGAGCTGTGCGAACCTTCCTGAGGTGATCGTGAGAACGATCACTTCTGATCGCAACATGGTATGAGAGCGACTCAGGAATCCTTCGCACAGCCACCTCCGAAATATACAAAATTCGGAAAGTGGCGCCCGGCACACGATCGCGTGTAAGAATGGCCGGAGGATCTGGAGGATCTGCCCATCACGCCCTCCTGCAACCTCGTCACGCCCTGTCGCGGCCCCGAACGTCTGCATCGCAGTCGCTTTGGGGGGAGACGGCGGGTGTGGCGGCCGAGCTACTTCAGTCGTCGAACGTGCCCCCTGCCCCGCCCTCCCGTTGAAAATGCGGCTGCTCCCACTGCAGCTGCCGCGCAAGCGACGGCGAGCTGTGCGCAGGCGCTCGTCGCGGCACCTGTTGCACCCCCCCCGTTACTCCCCCCCCCCCCCCTACCCGAGATCTCACCAACGCCACCCGCGCACGCTGCAGTGTCTTCCGCTGTGGACGCAGGTGTGGCGGGGGGGGGGGGGGGAGGGAGAGGCGCAAGGGTGGCTGACGCTCCTCTCTCCCCCTGCTGCGCGTGCGGCAGTGTGGGGGGGAGGTTTTTGGGGAGGCGGGTGTGAGCAAGAAGCTGCCGCCCCTCCTCTCTCTCTCTCACTGCCGCACGTGCCGCTGTGGGGGGGGAGTGAGGGGGCGACGGAAGTCAGCCGGTTATCTGTTGCTGACACCCGCTGCTGCCGTGGCACCTCCAGCTGCCGCCCCTGCTACCACCTTCCTTTTGTTGAACTTGTGTTTGCTACCTTCTGCTGGGGCCTGCAGGTGCTGCCGTCGAGCCGCTGCTGTCCTGCTGCATGTTGCAGCCACAGAGCCTGCTCCTCAGGCGACCTGCCGCCCCAACACCTCCTACTGTTTTTACCTTGGTAAAGGGGTTGGTACAGCTGGATCTGCCATCACTGCACCTGTTGTCACTGCACTTGCCTGTTGCTATGATTTCCACTGCGGCCTGTCTGGTGTACCCCATTATGGGGGCGTTGACTGCATATTCTTCCCTACAGGCACTTATGGGGGCGTGTCAGAATAATATATAAATCTATATATTGTTTTGTAATTGCCTGTAGTGTAGACTAGTGTAGTTATATAATGTTCTGTTTTGGTGGTGCACCTTTCATCTTGCCTATATGTACTGCTCGCTCTATAGTGAAACCCCTCCTCTTTTGTTTCAACTTTCTCGACTCTCCTAACTCGAACTCAATCAAGGCTCCTAAGCCATGGCTCCCGAGCCTACCGCTCTCTAGTTCATTTGACAGCACGGGCTGCATAGACAGCGCGTGGGTCGTACGGGCCGCGCGCGGCAGGGCAGAAGCCGTCGCGTGAAATCCCTGCACACCCGAGGTGCGCGACGAGCAGAAAATCGACGCGCGGCGGGCATAAAACTGACGCGCGCCCCGGGCGTGCGACGGGCAGCAGAGAGGCCCATGAGCGGAAGTGTGGTGGTGAGCCCTATGAGACAGGTCCTAGGAGAAACCTCGCTCTGATACCATGTCACACTAGGTAGTTAACTAGTAGAAGGCATTAGGGTTTGCACTAGAGAGGAAAGTATCGAGATAATTGTCAAGGCAAAAAGATGGTTTCACAATAGGCTCAAGGGTACAAATATGAAAGAAGAGAAGAAAGGTGCACCACCTAACAAGTAAGATAACTACACTAAGTCTACATTGCAGGCAGCTATAAAGTAATGTATAGAATTACATTCTGACACGTGGAACAGCCACACACTTACGGCGACGGAGACCCACGCGCGTGTCAGCTACGCAAGTCCCTCTATGGGATCAAAGAGGCACCGAGACTCTGGCAGCAGTACCTGCACAACATACTGTTTGAAATCGGGTTCAAGCAGCTGCCTCACGATCCTGAAATGTATCGCCGTGATTTCCGCGGCGAATACATCCTCCTCACGGTCTACGCCGACGACCTTCTCTACACACGCTCCAGCAACGAACTGCTCGAGCAGTTTGAGAAAAGCCTCGCAGGGCGCGTCGACATCACCTGCAATCACGACGTGAAGCAGTTTCTTGGACTCAACATCACCTACTCGCCGGAAGCCATTCATCTCTCAGCAGCGAAGTATGCGGAGGAGCTTAGCAAGCGCTTCAACATTGCGCCTGCACCACTCTCCACCCCTTACCGCACTCCAGGACCCAACCACAAGCCTGACAACAAAGCCCTGTCCCTTGCTGGGCTTCACACTTACCAGCAGCAGTTGGGATGCCTGCCCTTAGCATCTGTCACCTTCAGGCCCGACCTCTCCTACATCGCGAGCCAGTTGGCTCAGTACTCACGCAAACCAACGGCTGAGAATCTATTAGATCTTCAGTGAGCTCTTCAATTCTTCGTTTCCACGCCCAGCGTCGGGCTCTGCTACTCCACCATTCCAACTTCATCCTGACAAAATTGAGAACAATATTCTGACACACACCCATAGCCAAAGTGGGGTGTAATCAGCAGAGCAAGCAAAGCAGAACAAGCTCAGGGTGGATCACAATCTCACCACACATTCTGAGCACAAGTTCAAGAAGAAATAGTTTAGAGTTCACAATTATAAGCAAAGCTAGTGGTAGTCACAACGGGCAAGTGAGGAGGAGGAGGGAGAGTGAGGGGAGAGGAGACAGGAGGCGACGGCTGAAGCTGCAGACACACGGGCAACAGGAGGCAGACTGGCACAGCGGCTACCGGACAGCGCCCGGACTACAGGAGTAACAGGCCCCGCGGCTCAAATAGCGGCGGACGGGCAACGGACCCACGGGCGGCTGGCACAGCTGGCTACGACTGGGCTACCGGGACAGCGCCCCGGACTACAGGTGCTGCGGACGACAAGCCGGCAGCCTCCGCTAAACATCCCGCAAACAGTCCCACCCCCCTGATACACACCCATTGCTACACCGCTAGCTCTACTCCCACGCACCCCCCCTTAAACCCGAAACCCCAGTCTCCCACACAACCACCCCCCTCAGCGACAGCTGCAGCAGTGGGAGACGAAGGAGGAGGAGGAGCAAAGGGAGAAAGGCACACCGAGCACCCCCATACCCGCCACCCCACAGCTCGCCCCTCATACCCGAAATGGCAGGGGGAAGGGGGGGGGGGGGGGGGGGGGGGGGGGGCGGTGTGGTGAAAGGGGCCCACCACGGGCCTGGTTGGAGGGCGGGGCCGCGACAAGGGGCGGGACCGCGACGGTCGGGGCGGGGCCGCGACGAGGGGCGGGGCCGCGACGTAGGGCGGGGCCGCTTCGAGGGGCGGGGCCGCGACACAGGGCGGGGCTGCGACGTAGGGCGGGGCCGCGACGGTCGGGGCGGGGCCGCGACGTAGGGCGGGGCCGCTTCGAGGGGCGGGGCCGCGACGCAGGGCGGGGCCGCGACGTAGGGCGGGGCCGCGACAGCGGGGTAGAAGCCCGCCGCGCGCCTCGGGGCGCACAGCGAGCAAAGAACCGCCGCGCGCCTCGGGGCGCACGGCGGGCAGAAAACCGCCGCGCGCCTCGGGGCGCACGGCGGGAGGGAAAACCGCCGCGCGCCTCGGGGCGCACGGCGGGAAGGAAAACCGCCGCGCGCCTCGGAGCGCACGGCGGGAAGGAAAGGTAGCAGCGGAAGCGAGGTGGAAACCCACCCACAGGATCGATCCTAGGGGATCGACCTGCTCTGATAGCATGACAAAATTAGAAGAAGAAAAGAGGAATGAACTAGCAGAAATGGGGATACAAATAGCAAACCCTAGAAGGGTTGTACTCGCTATAGAGCACCCCACTACAGGCTAGAACAATAAGATAATATTCTGACACATCCTTCAACCTCATCGGCTACGTGGACGCCGATCACGCTGCTGACCCTGACAATCGACAGTCCAGGACAGGCTTTATTTTCCGCCTCGAGCCCAGCGGGCCCATCTCTTGGAACTCGCAGAAGCAAGAGCTGGTTGCCCTGTCATCAGCAGAGGCCGAATTCATCGCAACGACAGCAGCAGTTCGCGAAGGCCTCTACCTTCAGGAGCTGCTGCAGGAGGCGAAAATTCCTGCCTCAACAAATTTTCGCCTGCACTGTGACAACCAGAGTGCGATCAGGATCGCGAACAAGCCAGGATTCGTCAACCGCACCAAACACATGGCGTTGCGGTACTTCTTCGTCAAGGACGAAGTTGACAAGGGCAAGGTTGACCTAACCTATTGCCCGACAGGTGACATGGCAGCAGACTTCCTCACGAAGAAACTGCCACGACAGCAGTACCAGCACTGCTCCGAACTCAACGGAGTAGTCAAGGTGGTCAAGACCTGCTACGGCTAGGAGTGAAGGGGGGTGTTACGAATAGTGATTATCGAAACACTACTCTACACTCCTCTCCGCAGCAACCAAAGCACGCACTACCGGGAATGAAGATGAAAGGGCGCAAGTGACGCGAACAGTCATACGGTTACGAAGAGCATCTAGACCGTCGGGTAGACAGCATAAGGCAGCAGCAGTGGCGAAGATTTGGCCCGAACAGTTACGTAACCACCCGGAGTGGCACGGTTGGATTTCGTTGTAATAAGGGAACGTACCCCTTAGAGTACATGGCTAGCTAGGTCGTTTCGAATGTCAGAATGTTATTGTTCTCTAGCCTGCAGTGGGGTACTCTATAGCGAGTACAACCCCTTAGGGTTCCCTATATGTATCCTGTTGCTTTCTAGTGAACCCCCTCCTTTGCTTATTCTCTCTTGCCTAGCTAGGACTTACCTAGCTATGGCACCTACCTATACCTACTATTTTAACATGGTATCAGAGTACTCGCGCTCCTGGCCTGTGGGCCCTATTGCTGCTTCCGCTGCTACTTTGTGTGTTGCACGCCCCATGGCGTGCGACAGATTTCTCTTCCCGCCGCGCGCTCGGAGCGTGCGTCGGTTTTCTGCCCGCCGTGCGCCCCGGGGCGTGCGGCGGTTCTCTGCCCGCCGTGCGCCCCGAGGCGCGTGGCGGCCTTCTGCCCCGTCGGTCCGCGCGTCGCCCCCGGGGGGCGCTTTGACGCGCGACGGGGACCAGCCCGTCGTCCCCCGTCGCCCGTCCTGGCCAGCGAGGGCTGCGCTAGCCCCGAGCGCGGCCCGTACGGGCTGCGCCCGGCCCGCGCACGGCCCGTACGGGCTGCGCCAAGCCTGCGCCAGGCCCGCGCGCGGCCCGTACGGGCTGCGCCAGGCCCGCGCGCGGCTCGGGCCGCCTGCGCGCGGTTCGTCAGGCTGTGCCAGGCCCGTGGGCGGCCCGTTCCTCTCTGTCCATGAGCTGCTCGCTGTCCCTCGTGCTTCTGACGGTGCCCCACCCCTGCTGCTGCCCGTTCTCCTAAATTAGGGTTTGTGTGGGGGTGTGGGGGTGGCGGTTGTGTGTTACTCCCCTTGCTCCTCCTCCTCCCTGGTCTCCCACTGCTAGAGCTACCGCTGAGGGGGGTGGGTGTGTGGGAGCCTACGGCTTAGGGTTTAAGGGGGTTACCGTGGGAGTGGAGCTAGGGCTTGAGCAGGGGGTGTGTGAGAGGGGCGTGGGGCAGCTGGAGGAGGTTGTGTGGAGGTAGCGGTCGTGTCGCCTGCAGCGCCTGTAGTCCGTCGCCCTTGCTTCGGTAGCCAGTGAGCCTGTTGCACCAGTCGCCAGTGGGTCCGTTGCTCCTGCCGCTCGTCTATAGCCGCGGAGCGAGTTACTCCAGTAGTCCGTCGCCCTTGCTTCGGTAGCCACTGAGTCAGCCGCTCCTGTGCCAGTGCCTCTGCAGCTTCAGACGTTGCCTCCCATCTTCTCTCCTTCCACAGTTCCTCCTCCTCCTCACTTGCCCTCTGCGACTGCCTCTAGCTTTACTTGTGCATGTGAACCTGCTCTAGAACTACTTGCTCTGCTGATTATACCCCACTTCGACTATGGGGGTGTGTTAGAATGTTATTGTTCTTTAGCCTGCATTGGGGTACTCTATAGCGAGTACAACCCCTTAGGGTTCCCTATATGTATCCTGCTGCTTTCTAGTGAACCCCCTCCTTTTCTTATTCTTTCTTGCCTAGCTAGGACTTACCTAGCTATGGCACCTACCTATATCTACTATTTTAACATCGAATTCCCCTGTAATCATATTTATATTCCTTGTACTGCATGTTTTTAATCATCTCAAGCATTTACATTCACTCTGCTATTGAGGTCAAGGGCCCACCACCACTAGACTAGAACTGTGCGAACCTTCCTGAGGTGATCCTGAGAACGATCACTTCTGATCGCAACACATATTAGTCCATCAACAGGCGCTTGTGCTCTGACACATGAATGATATTTATCGGTAAGCACACGTTGGGCTGTGTTGTGTGTCTGAGAAATCGACTAGGAGGGTTAGGGTGTAGGCACAGTCAGGCCCCTAGATTCGTTTTGAGGTAGTCTGAGGCCTCCGAGTACACCCCTCTTCCTAGTCTGGCTGTCAGAGTTACCTATTTTTTCTAGTATGAAAATTCAGACAACACTACGTTTTTTACGCTGAACGTTCAGAGTTAAACACAATTTCTGTTTTGTCTGAAACATAGAATAATGAGATTTACAGCTCTGACAAGACGAATCTCTACTCTGACAAGGCGAATCTCTACCCTGACAAGGCAAATCTCTTCCTAGGCAAGGCGAATCTTCGCCCTAACAGTTAGTATCTTCACCTTGACAGGGCAAATTTTCGCACTTCGCTCTATACAGGGCGAATCTCTTCGCTCTGTACAAGGTGAACCTTCGCACTTCACCCTAGGCAGGGCGAATCTCTTCCTTGATAGGGCGGATTTTTGCCTTGACAGGTTGACTCTTCGGTGTGATAGAGGGCAAAAGTGGTGTGACAAGGCAAGCGTGTGCCCGATGGGCCCATCTGACGCATCAGGGGGGTTCAAAACCTAGCGAGGACCCTGCTCGGGAGTTTGCGGTGCCGCGCTCGGGAAATTTTGGTTTCCCGCCCATGATTCATGGTGAGTGCTATACGCCACCAGGCTGGTGGAAACCGCTGTATTACGGGTTTCAGGGGGCATCCATGATACAAGTATGAGGCTCAGCCTACACTAATAAAATTAGGCTGAAATTTCAGACAACTCATAAAGCAAAACTCTGAAAAGAAAAAGATAGGTACACAAAGATATTCTTAGACTTCATACTAGGTACAAAAAAAGTCTAAACGGACTCTGAATCAGACTACAAAGTCTGATATCTAGGGCCTTGGGCACACTATGTGTGTTTTTTTCCATTAAAGCAATTCATCAGGAAGTTGGTCTACCTTGAAGCAGAGCACCTTTCAACTCACCACAGCATAGACCTTACATTGGAACAAACTCAAAACGAAGTTAATGAAAATGGTTTCAAACAAACACCAATCTATAATCCCAACAGTCTGCTTCTACAAGCATACGGTAGTTCTCACACACTAAGCATGTTGTCACATCCCCTTCCATGCTGTTCTCCTCTCCCGCCCTGCAGCAGCAAATGTACAGTAGCACACAACTATCCCATGCATAATCACCAGCAATCCCTCTTTTCCCCCCTGTTCATCTGCCCCACACAAACCCACCCATCCCCTGTTCACAACAGGCCCTCTTTCTCTCTGCCCAGCCAGAGCAAGCACAGCAGCAATCCGCCATCCCAGGCACTACCAGCTTCCCCATCTCTCTAAGCCTCCTGGCCCTGCTCAGCTGCTCTTGAAGCTGCGCGCATCTTCTCCCTCTGCTCCCGCGTGAGCCTTACAGGACGCCTGCGCCTGCCGCCCAGCATTCCGCCCCTTCCCCTTGACACTTCCCCCCCAGGAGCCTCACCCTCGGGCATTTCCGCGGGCAGGGCGACACACGCGTTAGTGAACGCGCTGAGCACCACGAAAGCCAGAATCGGCGATAGATCGAGGGTACCCCCAATTGGGGGAATCAACCCTCGGAAAATGTTCAGGTAGGGGTCGCAGATGGTGCTGACGGGGCAGACAATGGCGGAAGGAGCGTTGGGGAACCAGGTGAGGAGAATCCTCACTACAAGCACAATGTTGTACATGTTAAGGAAGCTGTAGATTCCCTGTGTAACGACCAGCTCCGCTACAGTATCGCCGGGAATCACGGCGGCGAAAGGCGCGTTCGGTTGCTTCATGAGCAGGTGAAGGGGATCCGCGGAGGGGGAGGCGGAGGGGGAACCAAGCAGGGGGAGGTGGAGCCGCTCCCCCACTAGCATCAACCCGTAGTACATGTCAGCAAGGTGGTCGAGTGCGGCTTCCGCCACCTCCTACGCGAATCCCAACGCGAACTGGCGCGCGAGTGCCACGTGGCGCTCGGTGATTTGCTGGAGGTTGCGGAGAGGGGAGGGGGAGGTGGCGCGGAGCGCAAATGGCTTGGTGGTTGCGCTCATGCGGAGGAGGGCGTGAGAGAGGGGGGAGAAGGGGAGCGCGGAGGCGGGGAGGACGGCGGAATCCGCGGAGAGGGTGGGCGCGGAGGCGGAGTAATGCGCGCTGCAGGGAGGGGGAAGCGTGCAGGCGAGGGCCCCTTGAAGGAAGTCGCAGGAGTTTTGAGCAGCCATGGCTCTGATGGACGGGGAAAAACGAGAGAAATTTTAAAATTTGGAGAAATACTTATTATTGGTGAAGGGACGGACACGAAGGGTTCATACTAAACGCGAGGGACCTTTAAAGGTAGCCGGCTATAAGCTGCTTTGACTCTGATGAGGAGACGAGATAAGCAGAGAGGGGGATGTCCGGGATAGGAAGGGAGGAAACAGAAATGTCGTTAGTACCGCAGCTAGAGTGAGGATATGGGGGAGTGTAGGGAAGTATTCGCACCGAAAGCAAAAAGCGAAGGCGGATAATGCAGCATGAAATGGTGATGTAGACGTAATGCAATTTCACTATGTCCGGCTTGGATTCTACGTTTTTCATCATCCCTTTCCCCGCTTCCTATCATTTACAGTACGGTGCTCTCGATGCATTTCTATTTACGATGGTATGGTGCGTACACACCCTTGAGGTATTACAAGATAAGCATTCGAGAAGACCAGTAGAGAAAAAAGCGGACTGGACATAACACCCTGCTAGCTCCGAAACAGCAGCATTGCTATCTGAAATCTTAGAATGTGTCGGAAGAACACTCATAATCTACGGAGGAATGCATCCAAGTCTGCAAGAATGAATTCACGTGACTGATGCTCACGTTATCAATGCAAATTCCTCACCTCAAAGAAAGTCAATGATGCACAAGTTATTCTGTCGCACCGAGTTATGACCTCGTGGGAGTTCAGCAACTAAGTCAGGTACACGCGTGACAATCTGGAAACAGAATGTCAGAGTGAACCGCTTGTCACCTCTTCCGACATCATGGTTGATTTGAGAGAGCTAAAGCAGGTCGTGCTGGTTGTGCTTGTTGTGAAAGCAAGAGCGGATTGATTGCATTCATCCGTCGTACCTGGCCCCGTTCATAGCTGACGTGGAAGCAGATCATACGCTCGCGTCCTCACAAATATTATTTCGAAACGTGGACCACTACAATCCATCCTGTCACGTTTGCACACTGCACCTGGGCTACAGATCCCGACATCTGCGGGTGGGTTGCCCAATACGATATAGCTATGTTTTAATGAACTTGGTTACGACCATTCAATAAAACTTATCTTTTCATGTACCACACCCCAATACCGTACCATACAAAGCTTTTGAAATGCCATAATTCTTCTTTACTTGCACGTACGGTAGTACATGATTTCTAAGTAATTAGGGGAGATTAAATAGACAATATCCAAACGAACACAAATATATAACTGATTTGTTGAATCAAGCAATAACATTGCCAAGCGAACGTTCGCCTGAATATGTTCGGTAAGTGAAGACTAGATTTTTGTTAGGATGTGGTGGAGCCCCAGGATCTTTTAGAGATTATTCTTAAAAGTGGAAAACTGCTGCGATCAGAAGATGATCGACCCTAGGATCACCTCACGAAGGTTTGCACACAATTGATTGGAGTGGTGGGCCCTTGACATCAATTCAGAGTGGATGTAAATTGATTGAGATGATAAAACATGCAAAACAAATGTATAAATAAGAGTACAAGATGGAATACGAAATGACCTAGCTATCCATGTATTCTAAGGGGTACATTCCCTTATTGCAACGAAACTCAACTGTGCGACTCCAGACAGTTACGAAACTGTCCGGGCAAAATCCTCGCCAATGCTGCTTCCGGATGCCATCTGCCTTGACGGTCTAGATGCCTCGTAGCCGTATGACCCTTCGCGCCACTTCTGCCTTTTTCGTCTTCAACCTCGTTACTGCGTGCTCCGATTGCTGCGGTAAGGGGTATACAGTAACACTTCACCTTTTACAATTCCTAGCAAAAACAACAAAGCACAACCTACCAGACACAAGAAAGTTAGCAAAAAACGGCCAGAAAAACGGTTGCCGCTTCACTGGCTTCGCAGCACCCCCAGCTCCAGTACCTCCAGCACCAGTACTGTCAGATTATGTTATTCAATTATAATTGCATTGCTAGCTAGTAGTGTAGTATCACCCTTTCTTGTCGTTAGGTGGTCTACCTCCCTTTACCACCTCTCCTATCCTATAACTTAAACTCCCAACGTTATAAATCCAAATCCCGCGTTGATTCGGCGTACACGCAGCTTCGCCAGAAACGTCGTGCGAGTAACGCGACATTTTCGATACAGGGAGAAAATGGTGAAAACTGTTCTTTAACTAAGAGACTTCGTGTAAACGGTAAATCCACACGAGTGTTCAGAATTGCCAACGAGAATTCATGAGTACTCATGTGTGGAGTCAGCACGACATTTGGCAGACATGAGAGTTGAAGACAATTCTCTTCAACAGGCAAATCAAGCCAAATGCCGCAGCAGTTTGACAACCGTTTTCTTTGGCATATCTGGCGAAGTCCTCGACTCCAGTTCAACAATCGGTTTGTGTCCTTTCCTACTGTGTGCTATCCTACTGTGTGCTAAGGAGTTTATATAAAAAACATGCTTGTACCTGGTTGAATTTATCACTCTGGAATTCTACTACTACCTATTGACGAGAGTAGAAACGCCCACATAGTGCTGTCGAAAAGCTGCTCGACCAGATCTCTCACCTTACAAGCAAGCTAAGCATACTCCCTTATATGTTTTTTTAGACCCTTGGCTGGGAGGTGACAAGCTGTCACACTCGAAGGGATTTAAGGGAAGTTAAGTGTTGCTAAGTTTCAGCTTGTAGTCAAGTTTTAAACGCTTTCGTATAGCCTATAGCTTATAACAGAAGAACGTCGCGAGGAGCATATTAAAAGCCGGTGGAACCGATCTGCTGCCCTACTCTGCCGTGGGGGGGGGGGGGGGGAGAGATGTGGGGGTGGCGGGGGTGACCAGCCAGCAACCCGTTCCTCTCCTCTCTTTTCCTGCAGAGCTTGACGCCGTGGAGAGGGGGGGGGGGGGGGGGGGTGTCAGAATCCCAACCACTAGACCATTGGGATAAAAGGGCTTGTTTCAGTAGCGGGTCAGTGCGCCCATAACCCCCCAGGCAAACGCGCCTGTAACCCCCCAAGGATCGATCGGGGATCTCACACTGTAGCTCTACTGACAGGGGGGGGGGAGAAGGGGAGCAGGGTGAGGGGGTGGCGGAAATAGAAAGGTGCGGAGGGAGTAAGGTCAAAGGGGTTGACTGAAAAGAGGGCTGAGGACTTGGGCGTTATTAATGTTAGAAATATATATTGTAGCATACCAACACTTGTGACTGTACACCAATTGTGGTGTACAGTTGGGTTGGGACTACACCCAACTTTGGGTGTAGCCTTGCATTGTGGGGTGCCAATGTGAAATAACGAGGAATGATTGACTAGGAAATGTGAAGGGTACAAGTATGAAACCCTAGGAGATCGTGCCCCTTAGTATCTTCCCCACTACAGCCTAAAAAAGGCAATATGATAAATGTTTGACACACCCCCATAGGCAAAGTGGGGGAGAACAAGGGATCACAAGACCAGTCAAGCAAAGCAAACTCAGGGTGGATCACAATGTCACCACACATTCCAAGCACAGGTTCAAGGCCACAAGGCCAGTTCACATGTAGGAGGATATATATAAAGGTAAACAAGCACAAGCATATATATATAGATCACAGTACAGGCAAGGTCAAGAAGTGAGCAAGTGAGGCCAAGTAGGCACAAGACCTAGCATCGTACAGAAGCGCTGATGATCACAAGGCTGAAGTGCCATGGTAAAGATATCAGCAGTGTTGGCCCGAGAGGCCACGTAAGCAAGGCGCAGCTGACCACGCTGCTGCAGCTCACGAGCAAGGAAGTAGCGAAGAGCAATGTGCTTCGTTCTGTGCTCCAGTCTGTGCTCTCGACACAAGGCCAGCATGGCCTTGTTGTCTACGTACACAACTGGAGGAGAACGAGGCGGCTCTCCTAGGTCAGTCAAAAGGTAGGTGAGCCAGCGTAACTCCTGTGCAGCCATGGCCCCTCCGTAGATCTCAGCCTCACAGCTGGAGCCGAGAACAGAAGACGAGCGGGTAGACCACCACGAAACAGAGCCGGAACCAAGGCTAAAGGTGTAACCCTATGACGAACGCTGCGTAGCCTGGTCATCTGCCCAGGAAGCGTCTGCGTGACCAGTGAGGATCACTGAACTCTGCACTCCAAGCACAAGCCCCATGCTCGACGTACTGCACAAGTAGCGCAACACCCTCTTCGCTGCAGCCATGTGCTCTGGTCGGTGTCTCCCAGGAGCAACATAGCGTGCCAAGATGCTAAGAGGGTATGCAAGGTCAGGTCGAGTGCACGTCATCAGGTACATGAGGCAGCCAACAAGCTCTGGGTAAGGGCCACTCGGCTCTACGGACTCATCCGAAGGCAGAGCTGAGAGCGAGTGGCGAGTAGACAGAGGAGTGGCCTGAGGCGAGGAGTACGTGAAGTCGAAGCGCTGAAGGACCTGCTGCACCATGTGTGACTGAGTCAGGGTAATGTTGCGCTGTGCTCTGTCTCGGGTGATCTGCAAGCCAAGGTAGCTGCGCAGTTCACCCAGGTCTGTGCACGTGTATCTCTTCTGCAGTCCACCAGTGTCAGCAGTAGCAAAGACCAATTCATCAACGTACACGAGGATGTAGAATGGCGGCAAAGAGGTGTCGATGCGTAGAAATAGAGACGGGTTAGCAGTAGAAGGAGCAAACCCAAGAGCCGCAAGCGTAGTCCTCAGTGTGTCGTGCCACTCACGGGGTGCCTGGCGGAGACCATATACTGGCCGCTTGAGGCTCCACTGGGTACCAGGAGGAAATGACCCAGTGAAGCCACGAGGGCGGCACAGCCAGATCTCCTCGTGCAGGCTGCCCTGTAGGAAAGCAGTGGTGAAGTCAAAGGAGTGAAGCTCGTAGTCACGGTGAGCAGCTATGTGCAGCAGCACCCGAAGAGTGGTCATCTTTAGGGTGGGAGAGAAGGTCTGAAAGTAGTCAACTCCCTGCCGCTGACTGAAGCCTCGAGCCACGTAACGCGCCTTGAAGACAGGCGGAGAACCCGGCGGCCGCTTCACCTTGAAAATCCACACCCCACTGACAATGTTCGCCCCAGGTGGGGGAACCTCGTTGGCGTAGGTGCCTGTGGACTTCAAGGAAGCAATCTCTGTGTCCATGGCTAACTGCCACTGTGAGGAGTAGGGACCATCGATCGCCTCAGCGTACGATCGAGAAGTCGAGATGTCTGGTGCATCCGGGTCTCCCTCAGGGGGAATCAGCATGGACACGAGATGAGGCAAAGCACCAGCAAAACACTGGAACTCCTCCTACCTGTCCTCAAGGACGTCCGTGCTAAGAGCACACTCACCCCCGACGGACGGAGGACAGACAGACTCAGACTCAACAATAAGACTAGTACCGTAGTCTAGACGATAGCGAGCAAGTCGAAAAGCTTAGCAACTAAGGCAGACGCAGCACTGGACTCAAAGGAAGGGTCAGTGACAACAGTAGCCAGGACACGCGTGACAGTAGGACTGGCAGCACGAAGGGAGTCACACTCCGGGTCAGCAAGAGCACGAAGAGAGGACTCAGGAGGAGACGGCAAAGGGACACGCAGAGGAGCAGTGGAAGGACGCAGTGCCATCTGGTGCGTGCCCGGGACCGCAGGAGGACGCTGGCGTGGAACACAACGACTAGTGCAACCAGCACAAACAAGCGACGCAGGACGAGACACATGCTCACAACGCTCAGCAAGACCTGCAGTAGGACCAGTGTAGGGAGGAGGAGCAAGCAGTGGGGAGGCGAGCTGGAACTGTGACTCGGAATAGACAGGCGGTGGACACTCTAAGGAGGGAGCAGGACCAGTAGAAGGCGGGAGACCAAGAACCTGCTCAAGGAGCGGAACGAAGTACGGCCGCGGTCGCGCAGCGCCTCCAGAACCAGCAGGGACAGCACCAGCACCCCTAGGGTCAGCACTAACGCCAACAGCACCACCAGCTCCAATAGCACCCCCAGTAGCTCCAGCAGCGCCAACACCTCCAACAGCTCCAGCTCCAGCAGGACCACAGGAAGACCCAGCAGCACCAGCTCCAGTAGTACCTCCAGCAGCACCTACACTAGCAGCACCTCCAGCTCTTGCACCAGCAGCACCACCAGGTCCAGCAGCTACAGTACCGCCGGTACGAGCACCTCCGGGACCCGTGGCTCCAGAACCTCCAACAGCCGCAAAACCTCCTGCACCGGTAGCACCACCAGCTCCAGCAGCACGACTCCAGCGGCGAGCAAGCCACTCACGCAGCTCATGGGGAGAGGGTAGCTCCCGCCGCGACGAAGCACCCGAATGACCTTTAGGCCTAGCACCACCAGGCTCCACTCGAGCAAGCCCAGCACCCTCAGGCTCCGCAACCCCAGACTCAGCAACCCCTGGCTCAGCACCCCCACACCCGGCACCCCCAGGCTCAGCACCCCAAGACCCAGCACCCCAGGCTCCGCACGCTCAGGCTCAGCACCCCCAGACCCGGCACCCGCAGGCTCAGCATCCCTAGCAGCACCAGATTCAACAGCTACCTTGACAGGCTCGACTGCGTCTACATGAGACACACCCGAGGGGGCAGAACCCTGAAGGGGGAGGGGGTCTACCGGGGGGGGACCTGGCGCGAGGAAGAGCGGCGGGGGGGGGGGGAGGGGGGCAGCGCGCTAGGGGAAGAGATGGTAGTACGGAACCGACTCGTCAAACGTGACGTCCTGGGAGGACAGAACACGACGCGAGGTGGGGTGGTAAAACTGTCAACTAGGCACGTCAGGGGGGAAGCCAAGGAAGACGCAGGGAACAGCACGAGGGGACAGCTTGTCCGCAGACAAGTCTCGGTTGAAAGCCCGAGATCCCCAGACACGGAACGCCGACGCATCACCAACCTTCCCCGTCCACCGCAGGGTGGGGGAGGTCTCCGGCAAGGAGACCCGGGGCTGAAGGTTGATCTACTGCGCCGCGTACTGAACCGCGAACGGCCACAGAAAATGGGGAGCAGTCGCATGGATCATGGACGTACGAGCAACGTCCATGACCATGCCAATGCGGCGCTCAGCAATCCCATTTTGCTGTGGAGAGGCCGGAAGCGTGAACATCGGGCGGATGCCCCTCGCATGGCAGAAGGCTCGCAGAAGGTCGGAATGAAGACGCAGAACAGGATAGTCCGAGCCAAAACTCCTCCTGAGGTGGAGACGAGCAGCGCGGATCCAGTCGATCAACACCCCAGTGACCTCACCCTTGGTGCGCAAAGGGAAGAGTGCAGTGTAACGCGAGTAGTCGTCAACCACACGTCAATGTGAAGAGTCTGCAGGGGAGCCTCTGTCGGTGGAAACTCGCAAGAGTGAGGAGCGGCGTGCTGCCGCCCCTCGACGCATGGAACGCAGATAGGGGGAGGCCCCGGAGGAAGGGGAGGGAGGGACCGGGGGAGACCAGAGACAAGGTAACGGGAGGCCATGCCTCGGAGACGAGGCAAGGAGGGGTGACCAAGGCGGTGGTGCCAGAGGAGAGTCTAATGAGACAGGAGACGACACGAGCAAGGGGCAAACTCAGGACCAGACCTGGACGCTGCAGCAAACACCTGACCCGACGCAGCTACCTGACCAGACGCAGCTACCTGACCAGACGCAGTAACCGGAGGAGACTCAGTAGTCAGTGTGTTCAGGCTCGACCAGGCTGACACGTAAACGTGGCCAAGTGTCGGCCCGTCCGAGCACACTCACTGACTACAGTGGGTCACTCGCTGACTCGCAGGAGTGAACTGGTCAACCCCCCCATCCTGTAGGTCAGCACCACTGACCAAGTTCGTAGAGAACGTGAGAGGGTGCTAGAAGGGGCCGCCGGACACGGTAAGAGAGTAGAGAAGTGGGCAAGGACAGGACCCCCAGAGGGGTCTGCCAGTGAGACTGCAACCGGCCGACTAAGCGGCGTGAGTGTGGTGTGGTCTCGAAAGAAGGAGTGGGAAGCACCCGAGTCAAGGGTGAAAGTGTGCAAAGCCTGAGCCGACGTGGTACCTGAGAGAGCAGACTCACCAACACCTGGGGCAGCAGACTCACTAGCACCTGAAGCAGCAGACGCACTAGCACCTAGAGCAGTAGCCTCACTAGCACCTAGAGCAGCAGCCTCAATGCTCGGGTCAACCGGAACACACAGGTAACAGTCACCCTCATCACTAGTAGAGAGAACATACATGGCAGCAAGAATAGCATCATAATCAAGATCAAAGATATCAACCCCCGACCTAAGCAGCTCGCCCCAGCGAGGGATCTCAGTAGCGTCATGGAACTGGAGACGCCAGGCGTCCGTCAGGCGGCCGAAGCAGCACTGGGTGGTGTGCGGGCCACCGCACGGCTCACCAGTGAAGTCGCCGGTACGCAGGACGTAGGTGCAGGGACCAGTACCCCCACCCCGCTCACGCGCAGCGTACCACTCACGAAGCTGCTTGGGCGGGGGGGGGGGGTCTCACGAGTGCGCTGCTGCTGCTGGCGCTGACCACCACCGAAGCCGCCCCGCTGCACAGAGCCACCCCGACCAGCTCCACCGCTGCTGCCGCCACCGCCGCCACCGCCGCCTCCTCCGCTCCCACTGCCACTGCCGCTTCCGCCTCTGCCGCCGCCACCGAATCCCCCACCCCCTCCACCACTACCACCGCCACCCCCACCCCCTCCGCCTCCTCCACCGCCACCTCCACCGCCCCCGCCAGCTCCCCCAGCGCCCTTGCCCCCCTTGCCCTTGCCGTTGCGGCGTCTCCCGCTAGGAGTAGACGCAGCGCCGACCGACTCTGTGCCAACGAGGTTGACAACAGCAGCAGAGGCAACAGAGGGCAAAAGTGGGGAGGGGGGGCACCCCTCAAAGAGGGGGGCACGAGGGTCACCACGAGAGGCTCCTACAGCGACTATACTCTTCTCCGCTGCAAGGAGGCGCTCCTCAAGGAGGTCAACGGTGAGTGTGGTGGGGCAAACAGAGAGGAAGTGGTCCTTGACCAAGCGAAGGGAGTCACGGAGTCGGGTGACTAGGTAGTAGAGGGTGATGTACATGGGGGGGGGGGGGGGTTCTTGGCGCAGAACTCGGCAGGAAGCGCAGCGCGGTAGCGTGTGTCACTAGTGCGGAGGTGCGTAATGAGGTCAGCGGCTGTGGGAAAGTCGGCGAGGTCAGGGAACAGGTACGACAGCATGAGGCGACTAAGGGCAGCAGTGGCAGGGGAAGAGTAGCGTGCAACTACAGCGTCATACAAGGTCTTAGCACTTTTGTACTGACTAAAGTGCGCGCGCTCAGAGGACGGCAGGTGACTACGCACAGCAAGACGGGCAGCAGCATCGCGTGTGGCCCACTGTGAGCGAACAGTACTGTCACCGTCGGCAGTAGGGGCAGTAGAGGCGCCAGATGTGAGATCGAACAGTGAGAGACCGTCTTTTCTATCGCACTACAGGAAGAGCTGCAGATCATCGACCCAGACCTCAAAGTCGACGACCCGACCCTCAGCATCAAAGGTGAGCACATTGGGGGTTGCCATGACAGCAGTAGCAGCAGGTTAGCAGCAGCAGTGGCAGGCTAGCAGCAGCAGCAGCAGGAGGGGCGCGGCTCGGTGGTGCTCTTACCAGGGGCGGTGGGGTAGAGGTCCGCAAGCGGTGGGGCAAGGCCGAGATGCGCCGGCAGGAACAGGGCCGCGACAGGGTGGCAGATGAGGGCCGCGCCTCGGCTGCAGGGTAGGGCCGGGACGGCGGCTGCGGTTGTCATGGCAGTGGCAGCGGTGGTTGTCTCAGCAAGAGCGGCGGTGGCTGTCACAGCAGCAGCGGCGGCGGCGACCGGCCATAGAAGAAGCAGCCGCGGCATCAGGCGCGACGGCAACTGCTACTGGGGCGGCGTCGATGGGGCGGTAGGGCCGTGAAAAGCCGGGGAGGGGCCGCTGAGGGGCCGCGACGAGCCGCGAAGGAGCCACAGAGGGGCCGTGAAGGAGCCGCGAAGGCGCCGCCCTTCCTGGCCCTGACCCGCCGCCCTGCGGCCTCGTCACCTACCTCGCGGCCATCGCGCCGCCCCTTTCCCGGCCCCGATCCGCCGCCCTGCGGCCTCGTCGCCTACCCTGCAGCCCTGACGCCACCCTTACCGGCCCCGGCGCCTACCTGCGGCCCCGACGCCTACCTACTGACCCCGGCGCCCACCTGCGGCCCCGCCACCTACCTGCGGCCCCGGCGCCTACCTGCGGCCCCGACGCCTACCTCTGCGGCCCCGCCACCTACCTGCGGCCCCGCAACCTACCTGAGGCCCCGACGCCTACCTGCGGCCCCGGCGCCTCCCTGCGGCCCCTGCGCTCCCCGTCCCGTCCCGTCGCCTACCTATGCGGCCCCGGCGCCGCCTCTGCCGGCCTCGGCGCCGTCCCCAATCGGCCGCGCCGTCACCACTACGGCGCAGGCGCCGTCGCCTAATGCAGCGCCGGCCGCCACCCGAGGCGCCCGAGCCGCCTCACCCAGCCGAGCAGCCGACTGCCGAGCCGCCCAGCAGCCGAGCCGCCGAGCCGCCCTGCAGCCAAGCAGCCGAGCCGCCCAGCAGCCGAGCAGCCAAGTCGCCCAGCCGCCCTACAGCCGAGCCGCCGAGCCGCCCAGCAGCCGAGCAGCCGAGCCACCGAGCCGCCGAGCCGCCCAGCAGCCGAGCAGCCGAGCCGCCCAGCAGCCGAGCCGCCGAGCCGCCGAGCCGCCGAGCCGCCCAGCAGCCGAGTCGTCGAGTCGCCCTGCAGCCGACCCGCCCACGCCGCCGAGCCGCCCTGTCTGGTAAGAGCAGCGCTTCTGTCAGTGCACTGCCCTTACCCCACTGTCCGCGCTGCTAGTCTACTGCTGTCATGGCTACCCCTAGTGTCCTCGCTTTTGACGCTGAAGGTCGGGCCATTGACTTTGACATCTGGGTAGATGACCTGCAGCTTTTCCTACAGTGCGATAGGGCAGACGGTCTCTCCCTCTTTGACCTCACCTCTGGTGCCTCTCCTGCCCCCGCTGCTGATGCTGACGCCACTGTTCGCTAGCAGTGGGCCACACGCGATGTTGCTGCACGTCTTGCTGTGCGTCGCCACCTTCCTACCACTGATCGTGCGCACTTTAGCCAGTACAAGAGTGCTCAGACCTTGTACGACGCTGTAGCTGCACGCTACTCCTCCCCTGCCACTGCTGCACTGAGCCGCCTCATGCTACCGTATCTCTTCCCTGACCTTGTTGCATTTCCCACAGTCGCTGACCTCATTACGCACCTCCGCACTAATGATACTCGCTACCGCGCTGCGCTTCCTGCTGAGTTCTACGCCAAGAACCCCCCCCCCCCCCATGTACATCACCCTCTACTACATAGTCACCCGGCTCCCTGACTCTCTTCGCGTAGTCAGGGACCACTTCCTCTCAGTTTGCCCCACCACTCTCACCGTTGACCTCCTTGAGAAGGCCCTCCTAGCAGCTGAGAAGAGCATAGTCGCTGTAGGAGCCTCTCGTGGTGACCCTCGCACCCCCATCTTTGAGGGGTGTTCCCCCTCCCCACTTTTGCCCTCTGTTGCCTCTGCTGCTGCGGCCGACCTCGTTGGTCTGGAGTCGGACGGTGCGACGTCTACCCCTAGCGGGAAGCGTCGCTCTGGCAAGGGCAAGGGGGGCAGGGGCGCTGGAGGAGCTAGCGGGGGCGGTGGAGGCGGCGGAGGAGGCAGTGGAGGGGGTGGGGGTGGTGGTGGGAGTGGTGGCGGGGGTGGAGGTGTCGGCGGCAGCAGTGGAGGCGGAGGCGGCGGCGGCGGTGGCGGTGGGAGCGGAGGTGGTGGAGGTGGAGGAGGTGGAGGAGGCAGTGGCGGAGGAGGAGGAGGAGGTCGTGGCTCTTCGCGGAGGAGTGGCTCCGATGGTGGTCAGCGCCAGCAGCAGCAGCGCAGTCGAGAGACCCTGTCCCCTCAGCAGCTCCTTGAGTGGTACACTGCACGCCAGCGGGGTGGGGGTACTTGTCCGTGCACCTATGTCTTGCGCACCGGCGACCGTGCGGGTGAGCGGTGTGGGGGTGCGCACCCCACCCAGCGCTGCTTTGGCCGCCTAACGAACGCTTGGCGTCACCAGTTCCCTGAGGCCACTGAGATCCCTCACTGGGGAGAGCTGTCTAGGGCAGGGTTAGCTATCTTTGACCTTGACTTTGATGCTATTCTTGCTGCTATGTATGCTGTGTCTATTAGTGATGAGGGTGACTGTTACCGGTGTTTCCCGCCCGGCCCGGACATTGAGACTGCTGCTCTAGGTGCTGGTGAGGCTGCTGCTCTAGGTGCTAGCGAGGCTGCTGCTCTAGGTGCTAGTGCGTCTGCTTCCTCCAGTGCTGGTGAGTCTCCGCTCTCAGGTACTGCGTCGGCTTCGGCCTCCAAAACCTTCACACTTGAATCGGGGGCTTCTCGCTCCTTCTTTCGAGACCGCACCACACTCACGTCGCTTGGTCGGCCAGTTGCAGTCTCCCTGGCAGACCCCTCTAGGGGCCCTGTCCTTGCTCACTTCTCCATTGTCCTCCCGTGTCCGGCGGCCCCCTCTGGCACCCTGTCTGGTCTTTACCTTCCCTCGTTCTCTACAAACTTGGTGAGTGGTGCTGACCTACAGGATGCGGGGGTTCACCAGTTCACTCCTGCGAGTCAGCGGGTGACCCACTGCACGGATGCTCGGACAGGCCGACACCTGGCCACGTTTACACGTCGGCAAGGGTCGAGCCTGTACACACTGACCACTGCGTCTCCTCCAAACATTGCGTCTAGTCAGGTAGCTGCGTCGGGTCAGGTGTTTGCTGCAGCGTCCAGGCCTGGTCCTGAGTCTGCCCCCTGCTCGTGTCGCCTCCTATCTCACGAGACTCTCCTCTGGCATCTCCGCCTTGGTCACCCCTCCCTGCTTCGTCTCCGAAGCATGGCCTCCCGTGTCCTTGTCTCTGGTCTTCCCCGGTCCCTCCCTCCCCTTCCTTTGGGGCCTGGCCCTACTTGCGTCCCCTGTGTCGAGGGGCGGCATCGGGCTGCCCCTCACTCCTCCCAGTTTCCTCCGACAGAGGCCCCGCTGCAGACGCTTCACATGGACGTGTGGGGCCCCGCCCGAGTCCGTGGACAGGGTCACGAGCGCTACTTCCTGCTGGTGGTTGACCACTACTCGCGTTACACCACAGTCTTCCCCTTGCGCAGCAAGGGTGATGTCACTGAGATGTTGATCGACTGGATCCGCGCAGCTCGTCTCCAGCTCAGGCGGAGCTTCGGCTCGGAATTTCCTATTCTGCGTCTGCACTCTGACAGAGGCGGAGAGTTCTCCTCTGGCCTTCTGTGAGCCTAGTGTCGTGCACGAGGCATCGGCCAGACCTTCACGCTGACTCTCCACAGCAAAATGGGATTGCTGAGCGCCGCATTAGCATGGTCATGGACGTCGCCCGTACGTCCATGATGCATGCGGCTACCCCCCATTTTCTGTAGCCGTTCGCGGTCCGATACGCGGCGCATCAGATCAACCTTCAGCCCAGGGTCTCCATGCCGGAGACCTCCCCAGCTTTGTTGTGGACGGGGAAGGTTGGCGATACGTCAGAGTTCCGTGTCTAGGGATCTCGAGCGTTTGTCCGCGACTTGTCTGCCGACAAGCTGTCCCCTCGTGCTGCTCCTTGCGTCTTCCTAGGTTTCCCCCTTGACGCGCCAGGGTGGCAATTCTACCACCCCACCTCTCGCCGTGTTCTGTCCTCCTAGGACGTCATGTTCAACGAGTCGGTCCCCTACTACCGCCTCTTCCCCTACCGCACTCCGTCCCTCCCCCCGCCACCGCTCTTCCTTGTGCCAGGTCCCCCCCCGGTAGACCCCCTCCCCCCTCAGGGTCCTGCCCCTTCAGGTGTGTCCCAGGTAGACGCTGCTGATCCTGTCGAGGTCACTGGTGACTGTGGTGCTGCTGAGGGTGCTGAGCCTAGGGTACTGACTCTGGGGGTGCTGAGCGTGTGGGTGCTACGCCTGGGGGTGCTGAGCCTGACGGTACTACGACTGGGGGTGCTGAGCCTGGGGGTGCTGAGTCTGGGGGTGCTGAGCCTGGGGGTGCTGCGCCTAGGGGTGCTGAGACTGGGGGTGCTGAGCCTGCGGGTGCTGAGTCTGGAGGTACTGAGCCTGGAGGTGCGGAGCCTGAGGGAGCTGAGCCTGCTGGTGCTGTGTTTGGCGGTTCTCCGCGTGCTTCGTCTCGGCGGGAGCCACTCTCTCCACAGGAGCTGCGCGAGTGGTTTGCCCGGCGCTGGAGGCGTGCTGCTGGAGATGGAGGTTCTACTACTGCTGAGGGTGCTGGTCCTGCGGGTCCCGGAGGTGCTCGTATTGAGTACTGGAGCTGCTGGGCCTGCGGGTACTTCTGGAGCTGGAGCTGCTGCGGGTGTTCGCGCAGAGGCTACTGCTGTCGGTCCTCGAGGCGGTCGTGCTACGGGTCCTACTGGTGCTGCTGGAGGTACTGGAGCTGGAGGTGATGCTGGTGCTAGTGCTGCCGCTGAGGGTACTGGTGCTGTCCCTGCTGTGTCTAGAGTCGCCGCGCGGCCTCGGCCGTACTTCGTTCCGCTCCATCAGCAGGTTCTTGGTCTACCGTCTTCTTCTGGTCCTTCTCCTCCCTTCGAGTGTCCACAACCTGTCCGGTCGCAGTTACAGTTACAGCCGGCCTCCCCACTGCCTGCTCCGTCTCCCTACACAGGTCCTACTGGAGGTCTTGCTGAGCGTCGTGAGCCTGCGTCTCGCCCTGCGTCGCGTGTCCGTGCTGCTCCCA